TTCTAAATATAGGTGATTAGTTAAAAGAGACTGTAATCAAATTAGGCTTCTAATTTTACAAAATGCACTGAATATTAATGCACTGTACATCTTACTGACAAAACATCTACTTAACTGACTTCTCTAAAATTCACCGTTGAGAAGTCTGACATCAGATACCCAGGAGGGCCCTCAGAGTTTGTAACGAATTATTTAGATCTAAAATATGTACCTGGAAATCGAGGAGGAGTTTTCCATAGGAATATAACTGAATTTCTTGCAAACTCCTTCCTTCTTTCATTTGAAAACTATTTGATGTGCCAAAAAACAAAGTTTTATGTTGAAACACTGACAGTTAAATTCATAAGGAAGTAAGAATGGTCATTCTGGATCAAACCTGAAGTACAGCTACTCTGATTTTGAGGTCCAGATGGAGAACAACCAGCAGCAGATCCTTTGGAAAGAATTTAGAATAGGAAGCAAATACAGAGCAGTCACCATCTCCACCATCACCACTAACATGTTAGTGTTACACTGGTTTCTAGGAACTGCACTGGTATGTTTCCTAACATAAGCATGACACCCGCTGAAACTGAAAACACTGATCTCCATGAATAAATCAGGAGAGATGGAGAAAACACTGCTCACTAACCATCAGCAGTTCTCTTCAGCCTATATTTCCATAATTCCTTCCAGCATTTAGCTTCCTTTCTTAACAGGGCCAAGCTGTGTAATTCTGGAAATATTTCAGTTCCTCTGAGGTGTTTTCACACCCCAAATTACATGAGAATTAAAGAACAAAATTACAGAAGAAAGTAAGATCTTTACTGACAGTTGAGCTATACTTTTTTCTTTTTCAAATTTATTTCCATACTAATCATCCTAAACTGCTCAAAATAACAAAATATCCAAACAGCAGTTAATACTGCTAAATACAAAGCCATGAACGTATCATGAAGCACTAACTTCAATTCTGTTCACTTCAGGTATCTCAGATATTTAAGGCATCCAAATCTAGGCTTTTGGGTAAAAAAGTCATTTTGTGCATATCTACATCTGTGGAGGTTCCTGAGTCATCCTTATCACTGAAAAACAAATAGGGTAGAAGTAATTAAAAAAAAAAAATATCTTAATAGAGCGGGGCAAATTTTGTGTTTTCCATACATACTTAAAAGAGAACTAAACTTCTACTGCAATAGCTTTTCTTTTTTGGTCTAATTGTGTAAATGATCACAAAGAACACCAGCTGGACAACTAAAGCAGAATCTGCCACAGTGAGTACAATGCAGGCAGCAGGACAGCCTACTTCCCAACACCTGCATTTCTCAAAGGATGAGGCATCCTCTAACAGTAAAACATCAGTAAAACAGCATCTGTGTCATTCAGAGGAAAGTTCAGCCTCTACCCTCAGCCCTGGTTTCTTTAAATTGCAAGAAATTTCTGAGTACTGAATTCAAAAAGAATCTCTGTGATAGACTGTACTTACTTAAAAATAAATATACGGATAAATACAGGCCAACATCTTTGAACTGATGAAGAACTCAAGGTCACTAGTGAACTGTCTCAGATTTTAATATGTGAATCACAAGGCTCTATTACATACTTTAAGCTACCCAATTTACAGCAGGCATAATCAATGCGAAAACAGATGCTATATCAATTTTGGAATTGATGCTTGACATTATTTCTTAACTTTTTTTTTTGTTTTCTTTGTTGTTTTTTTTTCCAGGAGGAAATGAATATTTTTGCCTTTTAGAAGGAAGCATAAGAAACGAACCTTGCATAACCTAGCAAGATATAGTGACACCTGGTAGCTGAAAAAGCATACAACTTCCTTTTATAGTTCACTGGTAGACATGATGAAGTATGCAAGCCCTATAGTTTATTTCAGAAACCAATTGTCTGGTGAAAGATAACAGCAACTATAGTTTCCAAGAAACTGGTATGCAAACATTCTTTCTGGTTAACATACGTGGAACACTTACATGCATGCTTAGCAAAGGACAGCATCATACTATTAAGTGATGCTATCTCTATCCTAACAACTCTATCCTTACACGAAGATCACATTTCTGAGGCTCTTATTTGTATCTTCAGGTCTGAGACTATTTGCTCAATCCAGCATGTTCTAGCAATCAAACCAACCAACAACTCAGGCTGAAATCTTGCAATAATACAACCAGTTTGTAACCAGATGTCACACTCAATCAAAATTTAGATGAACACGCATGCACTCAACCCACACTATTAATTGAGCTTTTTTGTTTTGAGCAGTTCAGTTTCAGACTGCAGTGATACAGGCTCCTACGCAGCTTCATGGCCTTGCTTACCTACAGGATTTTTCTTAACAGTAAAATCTAGTTCTTGGCATGCTCATTATTTGTTTTTTGAACTTATCACTCCATTAAGATGAATGAGTAAGCTCACTTCTATGTCAATAGTATTGTTTCTGTCTGGCTTGCTACAGATACTGTAAGACACCATGAATTGATTTACTGGTTGAAGAAAGACAACCTGAGAGTCTTGGAACTATATCAAAACAAATATCTTTTTTGTTCACAGAAAACAAACAAAAAGATAAATTCCAGCATGGTTATTTATAAGACTGAAGTGCATTAATTCTCTGAAAATCCCTGCTTAGTAACAGAAAATAAATCATTAAGAATGAAGAGGAAGGGCTTTCTGTTTACCAGACTGGATTAATAAGCTTATTCCGCTTCCACATTTTTCCCCCATCAAACAATCCGAGCAAAATCTTCCTTTGCAAGTTTGTATTGGTGCTGGTATGCTTGTAAATACAAAACAGAAGGCCAAACATTTTGGATAGTAAAGCTACGCTGTTATAATGACTATAACTACTATTAGTGAAAAGCCAACCAATTAACGCAAACATGTTTCCAAGACACAGCATCTGAAATATCACCTTATGAAAGTTTAAGAATTTATTTTTTTTTTTCCTCATCCAACAGCACAAGATTTCAAAATATTCTTCATAGCTGAGATTCTAAACATTAGTCAGTGGCATTTTAAACTTACACGCTACGTAATGTGCAACTGCTTCACTGTACTTATTTTCTTTTATTCAATTTCTGGCTTCACAGAAAGTCATCAATAAGAGTTTAACATTATGTTTATTGCTGGCATCTTTAAATGGGTGAAAATCCAGTATATCTCCAGTTCATGTGTTTGGTTGAGTTAGACTAATTAGAAGTCTATGTAAAATGGCAAAACCAAAGACAAGAGATCTTTCTCTTTATTAGAGGTTTCAAAACAAAGAGCAGAAAGAGAAGTTATTCAGAAGTTAAGAAATTTATCAGTACTCTGTGCACCCACTGTCTCAATACCTGAACTTGTTGGGAAAAGTTATGTCAACATCAAAAATCCACTCCAACCTTGATAGACTTTTCTCTGGGCGAATGGGCAATAATTTTCCTCCATTTAACTGCTTTTTTAAATTATTACTAAGTTAATCCCAGGAATATTGAGTATTAATTTAGTATTTTACATTAAAATATCTTAATCCAACTTGCACTATTTAATAAAAATTCTTTACTGTTGTCGTGTAGAATGTCTCAATTATTCTATAGCACACATGAATTCTTTCAAGAGCATCCCTGTGTCTTGTTAGGTCTTGTGGTAATGTGGCAGACGTTAGTAAGCACTAATGAGAATGACATAAAAGAACTGCGTTGTGCTGCTATGAGAATCTGATGTTGTCTAAAACACGAGTAAGGACAAAAAGCAATAGAGCATTAACATGATTATATGTTATCCATTTACAGACTGGAATTATCCATCACATTCAGTGCAGAAGAGGTAACGCAATAGTATTCCTTGGAACGTCCCTACCATATCTGATCCTGATTGCTGAAGGGTTTAGTGCCTGAACTATCACATCTTCCTGCTTTCCCAGTGTTTTATTCACTCTTTTTACTGTTATCCATGTAAATATAACGAACACAGAAAAAAGAATGTAAAAGCGAAGCGTGAAAATAAATAAACTACAAATTTGGTAGTACTCCACAAGTAAAAAGCTGTTTGCTCATTACTTTCCAACACAGCCATATTCAGCACTTCTTTCAAGAATAATAGGTAACATAATTTCCGCTAGAAGCAGCATTTAGAGCTGCCCTTCAGCTCCTGCATTTTCACTCACATCCCAGTAAAACCCCTGACTGGGAAAGGTAAATTGTACAAAAGCAAATTGTAAAAAATAAATAAATAAATAAATAAAATTAAACAAACAAAAAGTAGGAAGGACTCTGAACGCAGAAATAGATGCATCCTACCTCCTCCACAACTAAGTAGAGAGATGTATAATAAATAAACAGTTATGGAAGTGCTTTGCTCTATCCAGATGTTCAATAACATAGAACACAATGTTTCACAACCGTTGACTTTTTTTTCCAGCTCTTCCTAACAACATTTGATACCATCTGAGTGTGCCGCTCATTTTAATCTTCATTTCTATAAGTAGGGTGCTTCCCTTTCCAACCCAGGGGCACACTGCTTCAGCACGTACATTACAACCTAAGCAATTCAACAACCGTCTTCAGCTGGACCTGATGAGCACGCACCTGTGACAAAGGCTCTAAATGAGGATTTTTTCGAGCAGCCAAAGCAGGTGTTAAGGGCAACCATGTCTCTTAACGTGAGCAACGCACCCTAAAGCCATCTCAGCACGAGCCAGCTTTATCCCTCAGCAATCCCATTTCACATAGCGGGATGCCACCGCTCTGTCTCAGCGGGGATAACTTTCAGTCCGCCGCAAGTTCGGCCGCTCTGGAGGGCAGCGCACGGCCGCGGCCCCGCTCGTTTCCGCGCTTCGCTCCCACCCGCACCCAACTTTCACGGGCCGCCCCCAGCGGATGCCGCCGGACAAAACCCCGCCGGGCGGCTCCCAGCCGCAGCGCCCGCCCCGCTCCTCCGAGCCGTCGATCCCGCCGCCCGGCGGGGTCCGAAGCCCCCCTCCCCACAGCCCCGCGCCCGCCGGAAAGTTGCGGCCCCGCGGCCGCCCTCACCTTGGTTGGAGGCGCCGTGTCCGCCGGCTGCGGGGCGCGCCGTCAGCAGGGGGAGGAAGAGGCCGAATCTCCAGAGCAGCCCCCGCGCGTCGCAACACCCCATGGCTGGGGCCCACCGAGCGCCCCGCGTCCTCCTTCAGGCCGGCGGGGAACGCCGCGGCGCGACCCCCGCCCGCCTCCCGCGGCCCCGCCGGGGTCCGGGGCGCGCCGCGTTGCCTGCGTTGCCGCCGGGGGCTGCCCGGGCCGGGGCGGGCGCATCCACCGGCGACGTCCCGGGGCACGGCGGCGGAATGAGGGAGAGCGGGCAGACGGCGAGGGGTGCGGGAGCCCCGTGCCGCACAGCCGCGAGGGGCGGCGGCGCTGGCGAGGGGGAGAGCTTCGGCAACTTCGGGCTGAGCCCCGCTGCTGGGCGGCCCTTCAGCCCCGTAGAGGCGCCGCCGGCATCTCCGGCAGCCTCCTCCGCCGTCCGCGCCTCATCCCCGGCCGGACGCAGCGCCGAGGGGCTTCAGTATCCCATAGCGGAGGAGGGTCCTGCCCCGCCGCCGGGCTGCTCGGCTGCAGGCGGGGTGGCGAGCGGGGCTGGGCGCCTCCTCACGCTCCCCGCGGCATCAACAAAACTTGCGAGGCGGCATCGCCGCCGCCTCTCGCCCCGCTCTGTCTCTGCCTCTCCCTCTCAGCAGCGGCGGCTCTAATGCGATCTCCGCCGCTCGCTCCCGATCTGCGTGTCGCGCTCCCGGCCGCGGCTTTTGGTGCCGCCGCTCCCCCGCCGAGCGGCACGGCCCTAGCCCGGCGGGTACCGGTCCGCCGGGAGGGCGGCGCGGCCCCGCGCCGGGGGCGCTCGGGCACGGGCGGCCCGCCGGCCAAACGGGCGGCCGGGAGCGCGCGGGGAGAAGCGCGGGGGGGAGAGACTTTGGGCGGCGGCGGCGGCCCCTCCTTAGCCGCCCTCAGAGGGGAGTGCGGGCGTGAGGTGCGCGGCGCGCCTCGGCGAGGGGAGGGGAGGGATGGAAGGAGAAGAGGCGCCCCCTCGGCTCGCAGCCCGCGGGTCAGATGCGGCCGGCTGGGCGCTAGAGGGGGTTAGTTGACAAGGCAAAACGCCCGGCCGCGGCGGCGGGGCCTGGAAGGAGCCTGACGGGAGGCGAGCGGCGAACTTGGCGCGCGGCGCGGAGCGGCGCTCGCTGGCAGCAGGCACAGGTGAGGCAGGTGGAGGTACGGCTCTGCCTGCTGCTAGCCGGCCTGCGCCGCGCCTCCACCCCAGGCAGTGCGCGCTCTTGGGACGGATTCGCTGCGTGAGCGCTGCACTCGGAGCTGTGCCACGTGCTGGAGTTTTTTCTTCTGTTTCTGTTAGTTGAGCATTTCGATTTTCGGACTTATTCAAAGACAACAAGACTTATTCAAAGAGAAAACAGGAATCACAGATTCCCAGAATTTAGGGGCTGGAAGGGACGTCTCGAAATCATTGAATCCAACCTCCTGCTCAAGCAGTTTCCTACAGAGGGTTGCATGGTCCAATGTGCATACAGGTCTTGAGTATCTCCTGAGAAGACCACCTCTCTTGGTAGCCTTGGTGTCCTTCTCACAGTAAAAAAGTTCTTCCTCATTTTTGTGTGGTTCCACATTTCTGTATATGAGTTCCTAAAATCAAGTGTACAAATGCACGTGTAGAAGAAAAGCTGTTTCATTCCCAAGGTTTCTGTGCATCCACAGATCCCATGCAGTCAGTAATAATGCAGTCACAGTGTCCCAAACCAGACCACAACAGAGCTCCTCCTGAGCTCCTGAGCTGTCTCCTGTACAGACACCCAGAGAAGCTGTATGTGGAAATAATCACTTTGTAATGCAAGAAAAAAAAGAATATATTCAGAACACAGATTTAAGAATCAGGTCTTAGATTATTTTCAAAGGAGTCTTTCAGAGAACAAAGCCAACAATGAAATACACATTTGATTTATTATTTTTTTATGTGAATCCTTCCAGCTCATAGCTGTTCTGCTGCAAAATTTCCCACATTCAGCTGAAATAACAACCTCACATAAAGAAATGAAATCCTATTCAGAAAGAAAGCTTAACAGGAAAAGCATAAGGAAAAAAATATTAGTTGTCGAATAGTGATTAGCATTTTGCCTTAGTTTCATGGTGAACGTGTTCAAGGAGAAAGTTCAATGTTTAGAGCTTCACCTGAAATACATTGTGAAGCATTGCAATCTACAGTGCCTCAGCATTGTTCTACTTTGGAAACAACAAGGTCAAAAGAAAGTAACAGACACACTGTATGGTTGGGCTTGGGGGTTATAGATGAGAATTCAGATTCTTTGTCTGCTAAAGTAAAGTGCTTTCCAACTATGCTGCCAGAAGAAATTAGTGCAGGAAGTCTTATACAAAGTCTGTCTTTTTAAAACGGGACAATTGGGCCGTGCAACACAACTGCTTGTCTTGTTCCTTAACCTCTGAAAAAGTCTTGCCATGTGTTAATGAGAAAGTGCAGTGCACTCAGCAAAAGTAAACTGAGATTCTCTCCCTCACATCTGCTATTGCATGACACACATTTCAGCTTTTTATAGCAGGTTTTCCTCAGACAGCCCTAGTAACACACATTGTATATATGTGGATGCATTCTCCATATACCCCATACTCTCCCTAAGTGCACTTGTGTATCTCCATGTACATCTGCATAAACATCATATGGGCACACTGTACATTATCTCTCTTTTGTTGTCAATAATGAAGTAAAATCAGATTTTCTGAACGCAGCTTAGAAGGTCTGATTTACCACTTGTTTTGTCTCTACATGTCACATCAGAATACACCTGAATACAAAAAAAAAAAGCAGGGAGTGAAAAATGTGACAGGATCACAGACAAAATCTTTTTATGTCTTTTTCACAATCTAAGGGAAACAGTTATCTAATAAAGGAGCTTTAACTATATTTTATAGCCTAATGTATTATGAAATCCAAATTAAATCTTAATTGTTATGCTTTTGCACTTCAGATATGTAAACATGTTAAATGTAACTGAGGAAAGTAAAAATATTAAATATAAATAGGTAGAGTCCTGTTTACATGCCAGTATTTTCCAAAATATATTATTCCTTAGTAGCGGGTAAGTAGTGCTTTAGATTTATTCTGAGCACATAACTGTACCAGCTAAACAAATATAAATGGATTTAATATCTTTATATTCTAATTTCTAAAGAGTATCTTTTTATAAGCAAGGAAATCCAAATACTGTCACTCTTAAAATGAAAGATAATTTAATCTATCCTGGAAATGGATTATACCCATTCTACCTTCACTGCTATTTCCTTTCTGCTAAAAACAAATAAACAACAACAACAAAACAAGAAAGGAAATGTGACATGGGCACAGAATTATATGTAATATGCTGTACTTTCTTGTTTGTATAATTAAGTATATATAATTTGCCTTTAATGTGTCATAGCTATGTTAATTATAATACTTCCTGTAACTTCCTGGGGAAAAAAAAAAAAAGAAGAAAAAAAAAAGGAAAACTATTCTTTTTTTTTTTAAATAAAATTTCTCCGTAATATAGTGTTGTGTTGTATGTTAGTCCTTTGAACCATTATTCACAACTGCATGTGATCTAGTGTGATCAAAGTGAACATTTTATTACGACACTGACAAAACAGATTAAAACAGATTTTAAGTTCCTTCTCCATACATGTCAATAGGATTCTATGATTTTAAAATTACTTTGATATTCGGACCCTCATGAATATGTTTTAGAAGAGCAGCACTCACACATCCTAACCTAAAGTATAATATGTGTACTATTAAGAACATAATGTAATACTGATCTCTTAACGGTCTGAGCCAACCATGAATAAAACTCACTGCCAATTCAACAGTGTAACCAGAATTGAACCTGTTTATAGCATATATCCTACCCAGGATGATAAATTACACTTTCCCAAGAAACTGAATGTATGCTCTGGTTGTTTGTTGTTGTTTTTGTTTTTTATAAAGTATATTCATATTTCTATTGAATTAGAAATCATACAATGTTCATCTGAATGAGTATGCCTCTTAGTTTATTACCACTTCTAATTTTTAGCAGACTGAATGACAGGTTAACACTGGAGAACTACTGATACTTTTTGTGTGTGTGTGACTACCATAGCCCCATATATGCTTATGGTATGTGCAGTGATTCACGTGAAGTATTTACAGATTGTGACAGTTTTCTGCATTCAAAAAAGTTCCCTTCCCATCCTTAAGGGGAGAAAAAGAATTTGCTTTTGCATTTCCACATTAATTTATAAATAAACAAAATAACCATTTAAAGGGGTGATACAAGCACATCTATTATCGTTTGTTTTGGGTTTTTTTGCTTTTAGTTCCTATATTTATATAGAATCCTATATTTATATAGAATAGAATGTAGATCTCTACGTACATCCGTATTTTTTTATCAAAAGACAAGGCAAAAGTTTAAAGTTTATGTTTTGCAGAAAAGTCTAATAATAATAGAATAGTCCTGGGATTCTACCAAGAGTAGCAAATTGCTTGGCAGTGAGTATTCTCAATATTTCAGTTTAGTAAGTGGAATTGTGCTGCAGCAAGGCAAAGGAATTCCAGATAAAGGCAGTAGAATGAGTTCAGTCAAGGGTCTGGAGGAGACGAATGGATGATCTAGACCACAAAGATAAATCATGACCTCAGTGATGGTGAAGGAGAGAAAATTTTCCTCATAGTGTGGGCAAAAATATGTCAGAGATGTAGGTATGACTGTAGTTTAGTAGAACATTCGAATTAAAACGCAAGAGAGACAGAATTATGTACTAATCAAGCTTGGAAGTGCAAGAAATGTAGGCTTTTGTATAAGGGCTTTATCAATCTCCGTCAGTTCAACAATTCCAGCTATTTAATTGCAAACTGTCTGAAAATGTTAACAGAGTATTTTTCATGAACAAAATGCTTTTGGGGGGTGGGGTGAAAGAAAAAAAAAAAAAAAAAAGAAGGAAAAACTGTAGTTACTGGAGAAAGAGATTTTATTCAAACTCTCCAAATAGTCCCCTTGACATAACTGAGAGTGATTAAGTGAGGGCGTACTTCAAGACTGTGTCTGAGCTGTTTATCTCCTGGAAGTTAAAGGACTTACATAGCACTCTAAAAGCACATAAAGCTTCATAGTTTCTTTTCTAAGAATATTTAGAGCCAA